GGGAATTATTAGACCAAAATTTAGTCTATAGATGACTCTGGGACTGAGCCATGCAACAGTTGCAGTTTGGGAGGAGGAATACCAGAATTTCTAAAGTACTGGTAATGCTCTATTTCTTATGCTGCTACTGGAAATAGGGCTATTTTTACTCTCTTTAAATTGAACACAGATAAATGTACAGACTCTGTTATGTGTGAAGTGATTCTCAATAAAAAGTTTAAATACAATTTTTCCAACTGCTGTTTTTTAGAATGTAAAATACCTTTAGAAATGGAGTTATCCAAGACTATAAATGTTAAAGAAAATCTTGTTTCACATAGGAAGTTCAGATTTTCGTGTGAAAATTAAAGTTGCATTTAAAATAAACAATCTAATCATTGTCATCGTATTAGTTTGATAAATATTCTATATCCTTAAACTACTTTACTTACAGAATATTTCAGAATGGAAAACGTGGGTTGTTTTAAATGCATATATCATATAAGCCATGTCATACCATCATTTTGTCACAAGAGGGACTAGATAGTCAAAAAGTACAACTTTGCCTTTTGGTTTTAAGATTATATTTTCTATCTAACGTTAATTTTTCATCCACTCTATTCATGCCAGTGAATGTGTTTTAGAATATAGTACCGTTATATATACATATATATTTCATATCAACAAAAATGTTAAAATAACTACTAGCTTGCCGTTTCACTTCTGATGGAAATAGATTGTATAGAAAGTATTTCACCAGGCTGTTATGGTTTCTGATTATGTGCTTTATGAAAATTATTTTTATTTTGTATTAGTACTAAAAATTTAAAAGTGAATTGATTTATATATGTATATTTGTTGTATTTATTTTTCTTATTTGATTTCCAGATATCTGTAAGCATTTACAACCAATCTCCAACTTGATAAGATGAATCGAAGTAATTATGAATTTATTGCTAGAGTAAAACCATGAGTTACTATTTTATCCAGTTGACCAGTAGTTTTCACTTAAACTCGCTTTGGGGAACCTACAGTGTTTCTGGAAGGTCTGTCAGGGGCCACTATATATGGAGTAAGAGGGATACTTTTTTACTGGGACAATTCTTTACTTTTCAGATATTGCTGTCTTTTATAAAGCTTTTTATCTACAGAAATAATTACAAATTGAAAACCACTGGACTAGACTGGCAGGAAAAATTAGTGTCAGTTGAAATGTAGGAAATGTTTTTACATGTGTTACCTTATTCGCTCTTTTCAATGTAAAATGTGAACCCTGAGAGGTAGCCTTTGTCTTACTCACCATCGTAACACCAATGCAGAGAACAACACATAACACATGGTTAAGTCCGTGTAACACATGGTAATGCATGAAACATTCAAATATTACTTAACAAATAAGTTTGTTAAGTGAATAAACAGCTCCAGAAGACGGGCATAGCAAGTATTATCTGAATGTTATCAAAAAGGAAAGAGTAGCTTAGAATAAAAGACTTGCAGAGGGTCATACTATCAGTAAGTAAAAGAATCAAGTAGAACCCAAATCCTCCATCTCCTGGTTTCTAACACATTTTGGATCAAATCTAGGGGAAAGAAGGTGAGGAGAGAATGGGGAAAAGGGAAAGAAAGGAAGTAAAACAGAATTTATTTTGCTTTCCACTATACTGTAACTGCGTCTTATTTAATTGAGCAGGGAAAGATCAACTGTGGTAAAGCAAAAAAGAAAAATACATTTTCACTTATTTACGTTCATTTTTGAGAAAATAAATTTTGGTAGGAGAGACCGAAGGATGTTGGTTTAATCATACGTATCTCTAAAAGAGTAAAAGGGGCCAGGCGTGGTGGCTCACACCTGTAATCCCAGGACTTTGGGAGGCCAAGGCGGGTGGATCACCTGAGGTCAGGAGTTCAAGACCATCCTGGCCAACATAGTGAAACCCCATCTCTTCTAAAAATACAAGAAATTAGCTGGGCGTGGTGGCAGGTGCCTGTAATCCTAGCTACTCAGGAGGCTGAGGCAGGAGAATCGGTTGAACGCGGGAGGCAGAGGTTGCTGCGAACCGAGATTGCGCTATTGCCCTCCCGCCCGGGCAAAAAGAGCGAAACCCCCTTTCAAGGAAAAAAAAAAAAAAAAAAAAAAGTAAATGTATTATTTTTTCCTGACAACGTCTATTTCTAAAGGGAGTTTGGGGAATCAGTGCAGGTATCACGTGACTGCTTTCCCCAGCTGCTATTTCCTTCCCTTTCTCACAAGTCCTTCAAACACCTGGGAGGATTGGTTTTTCACTTCCTCTCATTCACATTGTTGGCAGAATTCAGTTCCTTACAGTGGCAGGACCAAGATCCCCATTTGCTTTCAAGAACTAGTAGGCTGGGTGTGGTGGCTCAGGCCGGTAATCCCAGCACTTTGGGAGGCCAAGGTGGGTGGATCACTTGAGGTCAGGAGTTTGAGACCAGCCTGGCCAACATGATGAAACCCTGTCTCTACTAAAAATACAAAAATTACCCAGGCGTGTTGGCATGCACCTGCGATCCCAGCTACTCAAGAGGCTGAGGCAGGAGAATTGCTTGAGCCCAGGAGACAAAGGTTGTAGAAGCCAAGATCATGCCAACACCATATCAGTTTCCATGTCTATTTTTATTAGCCTTGTGTGCATAGCACCGAGCACAGAATCTGGCACATAGAAGGTATTAAGTAACTATTAATTGTCTTTAAGTACATTATTTTAATTAGAATTAATCAATGTTTATAGATATTTTTAATGTACAAGGTACAACAGTAAAAATCTCTCACGTTCTCCATACTTTCCAAGACTTTTTTTTTTCCCCCTGAGTCAGAGTCTCGTGCTGTCGCCCAGGTTTGAGGGCAGTGGCACGATCTCAGCTCACTGCAACCTCAGCCTCCTGGATTCAAGCGATCCTCATGCCTCAGCCTCCCAAGTAGCTGGGATTACAGCAGCGCGCCACCACACCTGGCTAATTTTTGTATTTTTAGTAGAGATCGGGTTTCACCATGTTGGCCAGGCTGATCTCAAACTACTGACCTCAAGTGATCTCCCCACCTCAGCCTCCCAAATTGCTGGGATTATAGGCAGGAGCCACCGTGCCTGGCCTCCAAGACCTTTACTAAGTTATTTACCTCGTAGTAATATCAGGAGCACTGATATGACCATGTAGTTAAGGAAAAAAATTGGCATAATTATTTTCCTCTACTATTTACGTTAAATCATCATCAATCTGAGAGTAGTCAGTTACGGGTTTTTGAGGGAAAAGGCTATTTCTGACTCATTTCTTCTACCCATTAACAGCCACAAAAAGAACCTTATACATAGCAGATACACAGTAAATTATAATAGAAAAAACAATTAAATCATAATAAGAAAAGCCTCGAAGGCATTGAGGTTTTCATTCATGTTTAGTGTTTAAACTAGTATAAAGTAATTATTGGTAAATAAGTATACTTTAATAATATGACACTAGGAATTGGAGAAGAACTAAAGAAGTTATTGAAAATGTTCTGAAGCAAATATTTTCTTGAGTGTTTAAACTCCTGAAAATTAACTTTCCTTGTGAGACACTATGTCGTACATCACTGAGATTTTCAAGCAATGAAGTATATCACTATTGGTCAAAAAATGGAAGCAGGTCAGGCAAGGTGGCTCACACCTTTAATCCCAGCAGTTCAGGATGCCAAGATGAAGGATCCCTTGTGCCCAGGAGTTTGAGATGAGCCTGGGCAACATGGCAAGACTCCCATTTCTACAAAGAATTCAAAACAATTAATCAGACATGGTGGCACACACTTATAGTCCCAGCTACTCAGGAGGCTGAAGTGAGAGGATCACTTGAGCCGTGGAGGTTGAGGCTGCAGTAAGCCATGATCACATCACTGCAGTCCAGCAGAATTCCTTACATTTGGTGGGAGAAGAGCCTTTTAAGTGTATTTCTCATTACAAAAGTGTTTGTCTGCTGGTAATGTTCTGTTTCTTGGTCTGGGAATTTACTACACTTAAAATCTGTACATGTCTAATACTTTTATAATATGCCCTCCTTTTTGCCCTCTTTTCTGCATGTATATTTTGTCAACAGTAAGCCTAACACTATTATAAGCCAGTTACCTTTTCTATGAGATAAATCACTGATTTACATAGGCTTCTTAGACTCTCCCCGCTGTCACTTTCTTCATAAAGATTCACACTGGTCTTAATTCCCACAGCCAGTGAGTTATACAACCAAAGTTCTGGATCCTTTCTTGTTAAGATTTTGGCTTGATAGAAGTAAGTGATGATAATATTAGCAAATCGAATTGAAAAGTTTCTAAAGTGCGTCTTATTTTTAAAGGGGTAATTTATAGAAAATATAAGCTGGAAGTTATATTAGACCTTTGGTAGTACTGTGTGGATTTTTTATACTTCGCTTTAATAATGAAGATGTTTAATTTATTTCAAACAGTATTTAGCAAAGAGAATATAAGCAAATGTCGACTACCACATACAAAGCTTCTCTGGGTGAAGTCTAAGGGAAGACATGAGAGGCACATTTACCTCTACATTCAGTCTTAGTATCATACTCTTTCCTCTCCCACCATCATCCTTCTTTAGATGAGCCATTCTGAAGCAAAGTTTGTGAAAAACTACTGTTCCAGTTTAATCTTCACCAAATAACAGGAAAATACAATTTGAAGGGGGAAAGGATTTTCTCAAACTAAAGCACTTAGTTGGCAGATTAGTATGCTGATAAGACCTGGCTTTTGGTTTGTTCTATTTGAATTTGGATAAGTTAACTTCTCTAAGCCTCAGTTTCCTCATATGTAAAATGGAGCTAATAATATCTAGTAATATCTACTCCCACAGATGTTGAAAATATGAGATAGTGTCTGGCATATAGTGGGTACTGGTGAGTGAGAACTATCATGTTTATTCCAGCTCCCAAAGAAAGCCCCCAGATCTCCATAAAATAAAAACAAAAATAATGATCAATAACTTGCACTTTAGCTTAACAATGTCCTCCTTGGTTTGTTTCAGGAAAGTAGTAGATCATCCAAAAAGGCGATTTGGTATCCCCATGGATCGGATTGGTAGAAACCGGCTTTCAAATTCCAGAGGCTAATTGATTCCAATTGTGAGTACAATTTGAATAAGTAACAATATATGCAGGCATTTGATTAACATTTCACAATGGAGTAATCAATCTATTCTTGCTTATAAGTTCCCTTTTTGATTTCCTAGCTTATCAATTCACTTTTTCAATCATCTATGTATTCAATTAGTATAGTATATTAATGTTAAATCACTTAAATGATAGTTAAAAAGCAAAAGAATCTGCTAGTTCTGCTTTACTCTCCAAAATTAATGATTTAGTTGTTTTCAGACTCCTATGTAATTAACCATTGAATATTAATATGCAGATAAGGGTTAAAATCCTAGTCAATATATTAAATCTCCTTCATAAATGTATAACAATCCCTGTGTTATGAAGAAGACACATTCAAGTGATACACATCATTTTGTTTACAATAAGTACGTTATTAGAATTATGATAACGTGGAGCATAGGAGAGAAAATGCACAGCAGAAAGAGCATTAGCTATGGAATCAAAATGCTTTAGCCAAATCCTGATTCTTTCATTCATTCATTAGCTTGTTCCTGTTAAGATAGTTTATTTTTCTACAGCTTGTACACTTCAGTAATAATGTAGAGGTATTATGAAGATTAAATTAGATGTTTGTAGTGGGCCTACAATATATTGGATACACAATACATGCAAGTGATAGTTGATATTACAGTTCTAAAAATTTACTGTTCCAGGCCTTATACTTGGCACTTTATGTGTATTGCTTCATTTAATCATTTTATTTCATAAAGCAATACTATCACTATCTCCAATATCTTGAGAAGTATTGATGTATAAGGGTTAAAGTTGCCAGCTAAAGAGATCAGGATTTATGGGTTCAAATTCCAGGTCATCTATCAATATTTGTTAGCTATGGGAACTTATTTAAATTCTGAAACACTTCTTCATTAAATTAGAATGATAATTTCTACCATATAGCATTGTCCTGAGGATTAAATAGATACATATTAAGCACTTACAATAGTACCTGACATGTTAATTTCTTAATAAGTATTAATTAATATTATTATTATACAAATAAATGGAAGGCTTAGAAATATTAACTTACAGTGCCACATAGAGTATAAGTGGTACACACAGAATTAAAATCCAGAAAGGTTACATCCTGAGTGGATATGTTAAACACAACATTTAATCATACATATCCTTTAAACACTAAATAAATGTTTTTTGAATGTGAAATCTTGGCAATATGTTTTCTTCCAATATGGCTTATAGAAGGTGCATCCCCGCTCCCTAAAAATAAGACAAATTAGAACTGCTTTAACAATCCGAGGCTAGAGAAGAGGGAATTCTGCCTTCTGCTTCTCTCGAGATGATCCTTAGAACAATAATTTAGAGGCCCCAAAACTATCACATTAGCCCTGATCTTCTCTTAATTTAAATCGCCCCATTTTGTTCCTCCTCCTCATGCTCTAAAACCACAATAAATAGTCAGTATTTTATCTCAACTCTCTCATTCTCAGAATCACTGAGTCAAAATAAATTTCTTTATCATGCAGTTGTTTATGAACCTCTGCGGTTAATGAATGCCTGTAGATACAAGAGAACTTCCTGAATCCTGCCAAGAACACTGCCTTTTAATCAGCATCATCTTCAAAATAGATTGAACATTATTTCTTCATATCTAGAGATATACCAAGTATGGTCACTCTGCAAGGTTGTTAAAAATTGCCACATTATATTTGAGTAAAAACTCGCTAATTGCTATTTAAAAACCAAGTTAACTCTTTGAGTCCTCCAGTTTCTTGATGTTCTGAGAACATCATGACAACGAGGTAAAATTAATCAAGTTTGATTGGTTTCCACATATACCTTTACCACCCTTGATTATCACCCATTTCAACATTTTTTAGTTCAACCACAACAAGTTATGATAAATTATACGGGGAACTCGTTTTCACACCAATTTTTTTGTTTGTTTGTTTTTGTTTTGAGACCGAGTCTCACTCTTTGGTTAGGGTGAAGTGCAGTGGCTCAATCTCGGCTCACTGCATCCTCCCCCTCCCGGGTTCAAGCGATTCTCCTGCCTCAGCCTCCCGAGTATCTGGGACTACAGAGGCCCGCCACCGCGCTCGACTACTTTTTAAAAAATATATTTTTAGCAGAGACGGGGTTTCACCATGTTGGGCAGGATGGTCTGGATCTCCTGACCTTGTGATTCTCCCGCCTCGACCTCCCAAAGTGCTGAGATTACAGGCGTGAGTCACTGGGCCCGGCCTTGAATGTTTATATGAAGACTGAGACCGTAGAAATTTCAGCTAGCTACTAAACTATGAAGAGAGTTGAATTAATACAGTGCTTCCTGAATCACTGTTGAGTGAAATCCAATCAATTTGTATGTTGTGTCCTTTTCTTTTCTTTTCTTTTCTTTTTGAAACGGAGTCTCGCTCTGTCGCCTAGGCTGGAGTGCAGTGGCCGGATCTCAGCTCACTGCAAGCTCCGCCTCCCGGGTTCACGCCATTCTCCTGCCTCAGTCTCCGGAGTGGCTGGGACTACAGGCGCCGCCACCACGCCCGGCTAATGTTTTGTATTTTTAGTAGAGACGGGGTTTCACCGTGTTAGCCAGGATGGGTCTCGATCTCCTGACCTCGTGATCCGCCCACCTAGGACTCCCAAAGTGCTGGGATTACAGGCGTGAGTCACCGCACCCAGCCCTGTTATGTCCTTTTCTCAGCAAACTTTGTTGAGCATCTTGACAATCACTGTTCTTATATTAAAATTGCAAGGTGAGAATATCACAAAAGAATCGATTTAGAAAAGAACTTATCATAAATTTTCCCTTTCCCATTCATCAATCATTGTGGGTTCACCTCTTCAACCATTATGTTTCTATTTCTTTTCCATCACTGTCACCAAGATTCTCTCAGACATTTGTTTACTTCCTCATGTTATGTAGTTTATGAATAACAAAAGACATGAGATGATAATATATTTCTAATTTCCAATCAAATTTTCAAAGTTACTTTTGATATTTTTATCTACTGTCACAATATTCCTTTGAATTAAACAGGGGGTGTACTAAAGTGTATCATTTAATAGATAGCAACTTAAAAGTCATTAAATACTGTTCACACAGTCATACAGCTAAGAGGTTCAAAAACATAAAGTTTCATTTAGTCCAACCCCATTTTTTAAAACAATTCAGGAAATTGGAACTTGCAAGAGGAAATTAACTTGTCTCAAATTTTATAGACTCTTGGGCAGAGCAAAATCTGGGGTCCAGGTCTTTGGACTTACAGGCCGACATTCTCTTCATGACCCCAAAGGTCTTCTTGGTGCTAAGTTTTCGTTGTTGAATGCTAAATTCATTGGCTATACATTTCTAAGACGAACAGACATGGTATCTCACACTTTACAAACATCTTTGTTTCACTTCTGTGCAGGTTGATGGATTTACTTTTGGAGCAGGTTTATTTGTGGGTTTTCATCTTCTGGGTTTCACTTTAACACTTCACATTAAAAGTAAAACTACTACCTAATTATGGAAGCGTTGCTTGATTTGAGGTCAAGTCTAGACACAGCTGCTCTATGATAACCTAGCATAGGGGCCAAATGCCCCCTGGAGCTTTGCTAACAGCCACTGACATGAGGCCAATTGATAAATACGAGAAAAATCACACAAATTTATTTAACATTTACACATGGGAACCTTCAGAATGAAGACCTCAACTCTCCCTGGAGGTACAGATGCTTATATAACATCTTAAGGTTACAGAAAGAATACAGACTCAGAGCATGGCCACAACCAGGTTTTATCAATCGTTCCAAGGCAGGTGATGGGAGAGAGAATGGAAGAGGCTTGGCTAGCAAAGGTGGACTTGGTATGTACATGAAACCTCATCGGCAGTAGCCCTCAGAGAATTTAGATGGTGAATGTTGATTTTCAGTCCTTTAAAGGTATCAAACTCTCAGTTAATCTTTCCTAGATCTGGACAAGGGAAGGGCTGGCTGCATTAATGCAAATTCTCTACAGATCTACAGATGCAAATTTCCTCCACAAAAGACACATTTTCGGGATCACTTCAGAATATGTTAAAGAAATATATTTTGGAGTAAAATATTTTTTATTTACTTCAATCCCCACTTTGAAACTTAAAACGCATTTCACATATTAAAAGCCAAACTAATAGCTTTGGAGAGATTTGGAATAGAGGTTGTTAGATAGAAATAGACAAAAAATGGAAAGACAAATTGGGATAAACAGAAAAAAGTAAATTTAAATATATTATCTCACATCTTGTTTAGTCAGTCTCTTAGTCCTGAGAATAGATGGGTTCAGTTAAATCGCTGTGTCCCATTCCAGAAGGTGGCACTGAAGGTGGACTAGGCCTCTATAGGTGATGCAGACAAACAGATCTTTAATAAGAAGTATTATACCTAGTATACCCTACACTAGGTATCAAGTATTTCTAAGGAAATAGAAAAAAAAAACAACAAAGGTTAAAAAATGTCTAGAGCGGTCTATAGACTAGTTTTTTTAGATTCTCTGAAGCATCTTCAGAATGCAATGGCAATATGACAGAGTCTTCTGAACTGTGGTTCAAGTGAACTTTGAGAAGTCCCTATCAGCAGGCATGAAGGTTGTTTACATATAAGCGGCTGTTATTTCTCTCAAAATTTAAGTTGTCTAACTTCAGTCTGCAGGGCTTTATGAAAAGCACAGTTTTAATTTCTAGAGATTTCAGGTCAGAAAAAAATGGAAGAAAAAAAATAAAAACCTTAGTTAGGAGACTTGTAGCCAAGAAAGAATTCAAGATTCAGTCCAAACTATAGGCAAATAATAAAAACTCAAAAACAATGAATAAGGCTAGAATCTAACAACAGGTGTCTGTATAGTTTTTGAAAGACAATTTTTCTTTCTCCACTTCCCCATTTCTACCAAAGACAAGTCATAGTCCTTATTTATTTGCAAAATAAGTTTCAGTCATATTATATATTATACTTGGTCTGATTATCTGCATAAAGTACAGCAAAAATGTGATTGGCCATATAACGTCTTTTGAAATTGGCTTTACTGAGACTTTCCTTATAAGGAATCTCAGATAAGACTTTCAAAAGCTTCTTGAGGTTAACCAAATCAAAGATTTATTTGTGCTTGTACATACCTGTATGAATTGGGTGAATTTCTCTCTTCTCAGGGTCCCAGAATAACTTGAGATTCCTGGGCCTGTCAGAAAGTGACATTTTTTTTTTTTAATTTATTTATTATTATTAAACTTCAAGTTGTAGGGTACATGTGCACAACGTGCAGGTTT